CCCCAGTGTAAAGGGTCTTTAACTGTGACTGATCAGCTTATCATAAAAATGTTTGGGTTGATTCAAAGTTCTACATTTACTCTTTGAATGTTTCAGAAACCGTAGCTGTGCACTTTCAACATGTAGCCAAAAGAACAACATGTCCCGTCTAAGACACCTAATCCAAATCATCTTAGAGACAGTTTGGACCAGCTACAATCAACAGAACATTACATTCTGAGAAAAGGAAAAGAACAGAGTGTCAAACTCAGAAACACCAAAAGTCAAAGATAATAATAGAACACAGCAGATTCATMCAGATTAAGATTAAGATTCAGACATTAAGATGATCAAATTTTCATGTTCAGAATAACARGACTTGGTTAGAACCAGCCTAAAAAATATGAAAGAATACAACAGAAGAAATATCTGCACAGTTCTGAAAAAGTSATATCTGAACAGATGAATAAAACATGATAATCTAAAAATAAGAAATATTCAGTTCATTCTATTTCTGTTAAACAAAACTGCATGGATGACATTTCATTCTATAAATGAATAATAAAAAAGGTAAAGATGTGGAATTTTAATTCTTGGCAGTCGAAATGCAGAGATTTAATTTCCCCACTGAGGGAAAATACAGGTTAATAAAACAAAAAATAATAATAAAATATAAGCTGATTTTCCATTGAACTCCACCTTAAAGTTGTAATTATAATTGCATTGCATACAAATGATTTAATAAATACTTATATASAAAATTTGTGTCAGTGTCCTTACACTTGTATTTGATTGAATATTTTTAGTAAAACGCAAACCTTATTCCTCATCCTGAGAGAGATTATTAAAATAAGAATATGGACTGTCTGCAACACACAGGTTCATTAAAAACAGCATAAAAAGGACTTAAAATATTTGTCAACTGCTGAGAAATTTCACAACTTGAATTCAAGTCATCTTGGTGATGAATGTGCAGATGTGGCTGCAGCTGGTGTAAGAGATGTGTGTGTGTTTGTCAGTGATAAAAAGTGTGTTGTCATTGTGTGAGCTGGCCTGGTGTTGAGTCAATAACCACACTCCTCAGATCCCGTTTGAAGAAAGTTTCRCAACAAATGTTCGCACAACCAGCACCTTTCACCAAACTGTTTTATTGTTAGTTATTAATTTGCAATTGATGACTACTTAAGCATGTGTATTTAATAAAACTCTTCTGAAAGCACTAAAAATGACACTACACTATTAGTTGGCCCGGGAGAGACAGAGAGTAAAGCCGCTGATCCTTCACRTTGAGAGGAACGAGCTGAGGTGGTTCATTTTATAAGGATGACCACTGGACGCCTCCCTAGGGAGGTTTTCTGAACACATCTAACTGGGACGCATCGGCACATACATAATTTGTGGGGTGGGGTTATGACTCCCCACCCCCATAAAATGACATCATTTGCACAAACACAATAGAAATTAACTGGTTGAGTACACAGATGCAACTTTCTTGTTGTCGTTAAGTAACTATGACCTGATTTAAAAATTTATGTTATCATATACAGTGATTTGCAAAAGTATTCATACCCCTTGAACTTTTCCATATTTTGTCACATTACAAC